ATAGAGTGGACAAAGTGGTCGTGTATGGTAGCCGTGTCCTGTCAACTACAGTTCGGGGTTATTGTGTTACTCGCAGAGAACTATTGGCCATGGTCTATTTTATACAACAATACAGGCCTTACCTCTATGGCAGGGAATTCGTTGTCCACACATATCACGCGGCCTTTCAGTACTCCTTGAAGGTTGACCAACGTTCTGGCTAATTTTCGCATTGGCTTGAAAATCTGCAGGAGTATTCATTCCGCGTGATATATCGACATTGCAACGCGGACGTGTTGTCCTGGTTGCCTAAGTCACCTAGCTGTGCATGTTCGTCCAGTGCGGGCCGTTGTAAACCTCCAACGAATGATATTGCTACCATCATGGCAGCGTTCGAGGATTGCAAAGTCCGCCGAGGTGTTTACACCTGCGGATAGTGTTTTATACCTTTCGCGTTCAGTATGGGTTCGAGAGCAATTGGAGAATGGCTCTCTGATGGCCTTGAGGCATTGCACTAAATTGGAATGGGAAGCTTCGGCGCCTGCTGATGGTCCGCGAAGGGTCCTTCAGGATGACCTCTTGATGTTGAGGGACGATATGTTGTGGCATTATCGTTTTGTTGTCCCCACTGCTCTTCGAGGCGAATTGATTCGAGTGGTGCATGAGGATAAATTGTTGCATCTCGGGGTCCTTAAGACGTTGTTAACACTGCAGTGTGACTATTATTGGCTGGGTATGTCTCGTGATGTCTATCACTTAGTCCAATGGTGTATCGAGTGTGCGCATAGGAAACCGCCGCAGAGGAAGTCCCAGCCTCCGCTGCAATCTATATCGGATTCACAGATTAACAAGTTGGTTGCGCTCGATATCCTCGGGCCTTTCCCGGCCACTCAAAGAGGGAATACATTTATCTTAGTGGGGGTGGAGTATTTTTCGTGATGGCTTGGCCGCTGCTTGACCAATCGGCGGCTTCGATTGCTGAGGCGTTTTTGTACGGATATGTCATGGATGAAGGGGCCCCTGAGCAGTTGCTCACTGACCATGGCTGGAATTTCTCATCGAAGCAGCTGCACAAGGTCTGTGATGCTTTAAGAAGATTAGAACATGGCCATAGCATCGCCAGATGGACGGGATGGTGGAGCGGCTGAATAGAACTCTGACATCCATGCTCTGTCAGGCAGTCGACGCGACGCAAACGGATTGGGATTTGCATGTTCCAAGTGTATTGGCTGCGTATTGGATGGCCCCCCATGCTTTCACGGGACTTTCGCCATTTTTTCTTATGTATGGAAGGGAAAATGTTCCTCCTATGGACGCTCAATTGGGTTTGTCGCAGGAAAGTGGGAAATCCAAATTGCCTGCGCACGTGCAAATTTCGCTGGAATGCATTTCGGTGACTCGAGAAGCAGCCAGAGTGAATACCGCCAAAGTACAGGCTGCTAACGAGCAAAATGCAAGGAAACGGGATCACGTGCTACCATGGTCTATTGGTAACAGAGCTTGGTTGCATTTCCCGCAGGTGCCCGTGGGTACGTCCCCTAAGCTGCATAAGCCTTGGCAAGGTCCCGTGGAAGTGATCGAGGTCAACCGGCTGCAGTGTGTGCGTGTGCGGGTGGGTCGCTGACAGTGGATTGTCCATCCATCGCAGTTGAAACCGTTTGTTCCTCCTTGAGCTGATTATTCATTCCTAAAGACTATCCTGCCGGTGTCTGTTGTGTCCGACGAGCCGGGGGTAATGCGGGTGGAGGGCATACGTCAGAAGGATTGTGTCATGCCGCCCACAGCGTCTGAGCCCGTGACAGTTGGCAGACTTCGAAACCTCCACCAGCGTGAGGAGTTGCCTGCTGCCGTCGAGCCTGCTGCACCTTTGACGCCAATGCCACCACCTACTGCCCTGGGGGTTCCGGTGGTGTGCACATCCCCTGCGCTGGAGATGAAGACCATCCTCGTTGACGGACCGACGTCGCAGACTCCATCTAAATGTTTACTGCGTTTCCGTTTATACTGTATGTGTTCCTGTGAGTTGTATAGGGGAGGAAGGGATTGTTTTGGTTGCTTAGATTAATGGTTATCTCCCTTCCATCTGTTTGTTCTCTCTCGCCATTTTCTCGTTATCCTGTGCCTTTTAAATGTTGTTGAATGTTCCCGCGGATTGTTCTGCCTTACTTAGGAAAAACCCAGAGTTGTTACTTGGTTAAATCTTTATTACTGTACTTTACACTATACAGGGGCATTCATTGCTTGGATTTCGTTGATATTAGCCGGGACGGCTATCTTTTTTAATGATTGGGGGGGGGTGATGTAATAACAGACGTGAGTGTACTTGCTATAGGTACATAATCGGTCCTGTTTTAATGACAGTAGTGACACCTGCTGGCCAGGAAAGGGAAGTACGGGTACGGGCACAGTTAAAGTAACAACCAATCAGTGAAGGAGATCGATCAGGGCCAAAGATAACAGGTGGGGTTAGCCGAGATACTTCGAGATCCTGCTCGTAGGTTCCACGAGAGGGTGTGACCGGAGTCGGGGCCTAGTCACGCCTGGGGGGATATAAGGGGGAGCAGAGCCAGAGCTTGGGGCTTGTCCGTGGGGTCTGGGTCCTGGCCACGTCACTGCTCGCCGTCATCTCTCTCCGTCATCCGGCCACGTGCAAGATCTTCTGTGAGGTCTCCATTACCGACAGCGTCACGCCGCTAACCAATGGCATAACCGAGCGTAGGCGATGGGACCACGCCGAGTGATCGGCTGTGTGTAGTCGTAGAGATGTTAGCATCAAATAATATATCCGCGTGAAGAAGAACCAGTGTTGGCCCATGTTGCACCCGGTGTGATAAATTAAGAAGTGCCTTCTACACAACGTGTCATGGCAGTCGCTCATTTCACATTGATTAAAAGGATTAAGGAAGTGAAGTCGATTCTTACAATCAAATACATTAATTGATTAGTGAATGTGTAACAAGTGATAGACTGATTACTGGATGTTCAATTCATATGTGATGCATGTAATTGGTGCCATAAATTATGCAGAAAATATGAATTAAATAAACCAATGAAAATGCATATGCTTGATTTCAATTGCGATCCCAAATTATGACAATTATTGCAAATTATAAAAACCCTAAATTAAACTCTAGGTTGCAGTGCTAACTTTTCTTCAATAAGACTTCTTTCTTTAGAAACTATAGTTTCAAATAATATTGTGCATTACTTTCCAATATCAATAGATTTTTTTTTAATTTGGCCTCTGCGCTATGAACTCGGAAAACTGAGTTCAATTCCCAGCCATGGCTAAACAATATGAATGGATGCACAACATATCAGCTCAATGCAGATCGTTATAGACATTTCAATTATAAGGGCGGTGGAGCACAAATTACGTATGCTTTAGGGCGCCCAGTGGGCCACCCCACCACTGCTCTGCAACAAACATAATCAGAATAATTATTTAGACTGGAGGAATCCGATGAACTATGAAGCTCTTTTTCACTGATGAAACGGGGTGACCATGAAGTTAGCCGGAACTCTTCTTGTTTGTAGCATCACCACTTTTTTGTCATTCTAGTGGTTTGTCACGAGCAGCATCGTCAAACAACACACATCCATTGAATATTCAAATGTATCATATTACTTCATGATTATTCCATTATTATCACACACGACAGTTGTTTAACTACTTTTTAAATGATTGTATGAGTATCATGGTTTCATGAGTTATACATTTTCATTTGATGTTTGCTAGATGTAAGGATGGAGATGTCGATGGTGGTGGTGATGGTAAATGATTGTGTTTTTGAAACAATCGTGCAAATGGCATCTGGTTATGGAGCAGCATGTGTTTAACAAGCCTGACTGATGATGAGACCCAGGCGATCAAAACCGGTACAGAGTTTTCTTGTTTAAACAAATATTTTTGGATATTTATGCGTTGCATTAATATGTAATCGTAGTCGTTTGCTACTCTTGTCATTTATCATCAGCCATGGTCAATCCACTGCTGGATGAAGGCCTCACCGTGTTCCTTTGACGTGATACTAATGATAGTACTGCAGTCGATGTAACAATCCACCAGCACTTGCCAATGCTTTTGTGATTTTACAGTGCACGTTTCAGCGGCTGGTATGATCATTTTTGTTAAAGGTGAAATATGTTGAACTATAATATGGGTGTGCATGCATTGAGAGTAATCGGATATTATGCTCCATGTGAAAGGAATCAAGCTCACGCCGTGTTCAGAAAAGCGGTCTTCATGACCCACAGGTCATGTCACCGGTCACACGGCCAGGTAACATGAAACGAGCTGCAGCGAGATCGCGGCCTGTTGCAGACGTTCACGGGTTTAGCTCCACGACCACCATAGCTGACACTGCATACGGATAGAGTATGCGCTTTGCTGGACCAAAAGAGGCTAAATATTCCCATTGCATTGTTCTATACGTGCCGGCATGGTGGTCCAAATAAGTCTAAGTTACCCAGAAAATGACTTAATTGGGACCATATTTCTTGACTTAAAGCTTTCGTGACTGCAGGAATCATATTCTTTGCGTCTTTCAGTAAAGTCACGTAGATAGGTTAAAAAAATAATTTTCAAAAATAAACCAAAAAGCACTATTTATTAATTTATTTATTGTTTCCCTGTCTACATGACTTTACCGAAATACCCAACGAATAACAAAATAATAACGTATTTATTTTCAAGTGAAGCTGGTGCCTCTGGTCCCAGTAAAGTGCAAGGGGTGGTAAGCTCGTGGTATCGACTCGTGCTTGGTCAGTCATGCTACAAGAAGAGCGGCTACGCTGGCAGGAGTGTTTAGGTGGCTGGATGGCCACAGGGCTTTCGGGGGAATGGCCATCTTCGTATTTTCCTCTTAATGGAGACTGAATTCACCTTCGCAAGCTGTGGGAAGTGACGATAAGTGCTGGCCAGGAGTGAGGTATTTGTAACTACAGGAACCAGTGGAGTGAGACAGGGTTAATTTGAAGCTTTCGTGACTGCAGGAATTACTATTTGGTTACATATTCTTCGTTCTTTCGGTAAAGTCACCTAGAAGGAAAACAATAAAAGAGGCTCCAGGAAAGATTTGATACAGGTGCAGGTAAGCTCTTGTCTTGACCTATTACGGATGTAAAGAGGGAAGTGAAGGAGGGAGTGGACCAATCTGTGGATGAGTGGCAAGGGTATTCCAGAAATGTAGATCAGCAACGTGGAAAGACTTTTACCATACAAAGTATTGATGTGGTAAAGGAGGAGATTCATACCCGTACGACCCAGATATCAGCCAGGGTTTTAATTACAGTCAGGTCATGGAATTTGCTGACCAGAAGGGTTTTCACATCTGTGTCAAGTGTAGTTCATGGCTCGTATGATACGATAATAAACAATCGATAGAGCTCGTATACACATATTTGGAAAGAAGTGAGACTTAGGTCAACGAGAGGTTAAGGAATTAAGAAAAAGAAGGCCAGTGACCGATGCTGTTCAAGCAAAATAAATAAAGAGAATATAATAACCCGCCAGCCACTACCTTCCACTTTGATAAATCTTCCTTTGATATTACATTTACCATGACTGAGACACACGTGGACTACTTTTTCTAAAAACGTCACAGCATCTTTAACGTCCACCGTGAAAGCCCCGTCCACCTTGGCTCCAAATTCCCCATAAGGCCGCGCAGCGTCTAAAGGTAATGGCTAACATTTGGTGCAAAACAATGAACACGCGCTGCGGACGTCATATGTGATTACCTAGAAACAGACGCATACAGACGTCACATGCAAGTTACAAGAACTGATAACTGGCATCGCGGTCAAGGCTGTGCAATCATTGACCGGCACGCTGACTCGACATTTATTGCAAGAAAATACATAACAGCCATTGCCTCTATTTAAGGAAGATGTGGACCTTGATCCCTTCGGTCATTTATATTCTGCTCATGCATTTCACTGAGCCAAGTCTGGATAAACATCACCAGCGTCAGCTCTCTCCACGAAGGCTGCTATCTTAGCTAAAACGATGTCACTCCGTACCCGCGTTAAACTGCTCGAAATCGCAGAAAGTGAAGTAACAATCTTGTCGTGCAGCCACTGCTCGTATGGAACGAGAATCCCTGCTGTTGGAAGCTGTCTGACTTGCGACTCAAATCTCTGCAAGGCTCATGCGAAGGCGCATTCGCAGGACCCCAGAAACAGACATCATCGCTTTGTGGCTGACAGAGTGCACCTGGGAGACCACGAGTACACGGAACACATCGGCCGTTATGACGCCGAGAGCAGACACGTAAGTGATGAACAAGTGTGGCGTGCAAATGATAACAAGTGCTTCGCTTGGGCTTTGTGGGTCGGGTCGCGGTCTCTGAGGACACAGATCCCGGTGCTAATGCTGGAGCGAGCAGGCAGATGTGCAGCCGTTTTCCTCAATATCGACTGCTGGATGAGGGCGTCAACTCGCCGTGGAAATGGTCGTGGAAAGTTTAGGCATAATTCGGCAAGCTAGTCAGTGCGAGGGGCGTGAAGGCATGGGGAGCATAGAAGTGGAGTACAACAATGGGGTTTTGCCGCGTTCTCCTCTGCTATGCGAACCACATCGCCCCGCATCAGCTCGCAATGACCCTGCGTCCAGGCTCATCCCGAACATTCCGAGATTTGACGACGCGCGGCACAATCCGAGTGCTTTAGTCATCAGGCACGGATATTAGACCAACACGTGGTAAATATTAGTGCGACGATCAATTGATTAATAACACGACGTATATAATGAGCAGGCCTTGGTCAATCCACTGCTGGATGAAGGCATCTCCACGCCGTAGGGGGTGTTTGAACGTACTTCACCACGACAGTGAGTGAGTGGTGGCGAAGAGGAAAGTGGAAGAGGGGGGCATACAATGACACCGCGTCACATATCACAGTTCACTGACGTTAGCCATGGCTGAGAAGCGAAGTTAGGGGCCGTCCATAAATGACGTCACGCACCTAGGGGGGGGGGGTCAGACATTTGTGACGATGTGTGACGGGGGGGGGGGGTTTGAGAAATGTGACGTCACAAAAAATGCGCAACTTTAAATAAATATAGACGACACGTTCTACTTAAATAGACTTTTTAATAAATGTTTGCTCCTACAACATCAGAGTGCAGCGCTACATTAAATACGCACTACAATGACAATAGTTTAAAGCGATTTGAAGCATGTTTTTTTTTGGGGGGGGGGGGGCAGAGCTTTGTGACGTTATATTTGAGGGGGGGGTCTGACTTTTTGTGACGCCGTGTGACGAGGGGGGGGGGTCAAAAAATCTCCAAAATCGCGTGACGTTATTTATGGACGGCCCCATAGGTAACCAGATTAGGTACATCTAATCTGATTTGTATTCATAATGCACACCTTCACTCAAGGCGCTTGACAGCACGATGGAAGAATTAAATTACGTAGTTGACAAGGTGTATAAGGTTTGAGGGATTAGTGGTAGGAGGGCCCTTACCTTTTTGTACTTCTACAGGACTATTCTGCACAAGCCGCACGCCGACGCCTTAATCAAGTGTTGCCCGAATGGGGAAGACAGCGACGTGAGCTGATAAGATATCTCCTCGACATCGTATGCTCGCTGAGAGAGCGGCAGAGCGGTTTTAACGTCGCCAAAACCGCCGCTGCATCCCTGACTCTGTTGGGGAATGCGCTCATCTACGCCTGGAAAAACGACGTCGATGACGACGGCGATGATTTCGCCACCTTGCTCGGAGCCGTGGCAAAAGGCATCGGCGCCGTCGTTGATGTCGGAGCCGAGATAGCGACAGGAGTGCTCAACATCGCCACTGCCAGCGAGGTGAGGGAGGCCCTCAAGGAAGATGAACGCCTGAGCAAGGAGCTGCACGTCTGCCTCAATCAACTGGGCGAAATAAAGCCAGGAACGGTGCACAGCATCACGCGGGCCGTCAAAGAGGTCGAAGACAGCTGTAGGTTGGGCACGCAGGCTTACAGAGCGCTCCAGGGCAGCTACGCACAACCACCACCCCGAGAATTGCACACGCCGATCCATGAGAGCATCGTGGCTCTGGTGAAGCAGGTGAACGAGTTGGGCAGCGGAAGCCCCTCGGCAATAGCGGATGAAATCGAGGTGAAAATCAACGCACTTCGGGGCGACGCCACAACAATACGTGACCTGTCTAAGCAATTCCAGGACTTTGACCAATTCCTTGAATAATCTACATCATTCGTATGAATCACCCTGCTTCTCATGAGTAATTGCAGCATTCGCTTTACCACGATATGTATGAAGTTTTGCAACCATGCTAATTGGAAGTGCAGTGAGAAGGAAAACAAACTAAACACGAAAAGCAGCATTCTCGATGCACAATATGATATACACAATAATTTAAACAACGCTTTACAAACACAATATGCTATGCACATACTATACGCGCGTTGTAATGCGGTGTTTTTTTCTGGAAAATTTGCTGTTTATCCAGGATGTTTCTGTTGCGCTTCGTCGCTTTAAGCAGTTCTCTCTTCATATTTTGTTTGTTGCGGTTGCACCCGACTCAAGAGCCGCATGGCTCACAGGGCTATACTTAATCAATGAAACTTAAAATGAAACTTGAATACACAACGTTATATACACACAACTATGCACGTGTCATACACAAAATGTGATATTCACAATGCTATGCACAACTTAATATACGCAACGTTCTATACACAACACTTTACGCAACCTATCAAAGCAAACAATGTGCAATTCACAACGCTATATATGACAAGATATTAGGAAGCATTTTAAATTAGGAAGCCACTGGAGCTATGCACTTTAAAATCTAGATTGAAAACTCATTTCTTTAGTACTGCTTTTTGTGTTTAGTTTGGTGTCCTTCCCCCGCCGCTCTGATTAACACGGTTGGCTACCTACGGTACGACAGAAGTTCAACATACGTACATACATTATATAATACGCAACTTGTTAAGCATAATTTGCTATACACAACGTGCTTTACACATACAGAGCATGCTATCACGCAACATGCTATGTATGAAATAAGCAAACACTACGCCATCTTGTACCGTACTATATGTTATATATGTTATGTAGTACGTTATGTCATGATTATCGTTGCCCGTGTACGTAATGGTGGCAAGACGTGCGGCCGTGCAATTTCTCACTTCACGCCACTGCTGGTGGATGGCCTCCATTGGAGGGTGTTGCTCTGCAGCAGTGTTTTCTCAACCTTTGGTTTGCTACTGTTCTATCCCCTTTGTAAAATTTTGCTTCAACTGAGTACCCCCCCCCCCCCCCCCCCCCCCCCATATTTGCCTGATCCAAAACGGTCTGAAAAATAAAAGGTATGAATAATGACCATCAATATTGTTTTACCAATTGTTCATTATTGTGGTTTAACTAACTTGCTAGTAATCGCAAGCGAATAAAAAAATGTCAACGTACGTTCTGCACGCGTGACGTAATTTGTTTGTGCTCACTGGTTACTCTTGTGAACCACTTTGTTTACAATCAATGAGTCTGAAAATGTATTTTATATCGTTCTAGGCCACTATATCCATTTACATTTTATCGTAGTTATTTCATATTGGCAGGTTCATAAAACATGATTATTCATAATACAGTTTTTTTTGGGTTAGATCGCGTAAATATATAAATGTTTCGTTAAACCCGCCACCACCCAACACAGCCAATTAGTGAGGTTTGTCACAGAAACAGAACATGCCAATTCGTTACTAGTACAGCACACCGGTGTGTTGGAGAGCAAATCCACAACATTTACATTCTGAGTACGACGTTTCGCCAGTAATTACAACCAGCATCATCAGGCGGCAGCCAGATTTCTGGAGAAATCCTCCAGTTTCGTTCCTTAGAAGGAGAGATGTGATAATGTGACTTGTGAGTCCTTCTTGTGGGAAGTGGGGGTGATTAATGAATACATATTATTTACCATAGGTATCATTACCGGTTGGGTTATTCACATGGTAAGCATGCATGTACATTATGCATGCACATTGTTATTGTGCCTCCTGTTGTTTGTGTCCACTAAAATAAAATAAAAACGTGACAAACCTTGCTAATTGGCTGTGTCGGGTGGTGGCGGGTTTAACGATACCTTTATATTTACGCTATCTAACCCCCCCAAACCCCCGCCCCCCCCCCCTTTATTTGGATTATATTGGTCGCGAAAGCCTACGAGTTAAACATGATTATTCACCAACGACTCTCATGTATGATATAATTTCACGCATTTGTAAATCACCTCACGTACACTACCAGGGATCTGCGTTCCCATTGGTTGAGAACCACGGCTCTAGAGAACCCCTCTCAATCGTATTTTGGTCTACTCTTCCACCGTGGCTAGACGTCTTGGAAGAAGGACGTAAAGAGGAAAGGGAAGGAGGGAGTGGACCAAGCTGTGGATGAGTGGCAAGGGTATTCCAGAAACGTGGATCAGCAACGTGGAAAGACGTTTAACCATACAAAGTATTGATGTGGTAAAGGATGAGATTCATACCCGTGCGACCCAGATATCAGCCAGGGTTTGAATTACAGTCAGGTCATGGAATTTGCGGACCAGAAGGGTTTTCACATCTGTGTCAAGTGTAGTTCATGGTTCGCATGATACTATAATAAACAATCGAAAGAGCTCGTATAAACATATTTGAAAAGAAGTGAGACAAGTCAGCGAGAGGTTAAGGGCAGTTCAAGCAAAATAAATAAAGATAATATAATAACCCGCCAGCCACCACCTTCACTTTGATAAATCTTCCATTGATATTATATTTACCATGACTGAGGCACACGTGGACTACTTTTTCGAAAAACGTCACAGCATCTTTAACGTCCACCGTAAAAGCCCCGTCCACATTGGCGCCAAATTCCCCCTAAGGCCACGGAGCATCTCAAAGTAATGGCTAACATTTGGTTCAAAACCATGAACACACGCTGCGGACGTCATATGTGATTACCAAGAAACAGACGCATACAGACGTCACATGCAAGTTACAAGAACTGGTAACTGGCATCGCGGTCAAGGCTGCTCAATCATTGACCGGCACGTTGACTCGACATTTATTGCAAGAAAGTCAATAACAGCCATTGCCTCTATTTAAGGAAGATGTGGACCTTGATCCTTTCGGTCATTTATATTATTCTCATGCATTGCACTGAGCCAAGTCTGGATAAACATCACCAGCATCAGCTCTCTCCACGAAGGTTCCCATCTTAGCTAAAGCGATGTCACTCCGTACCCGCGTTAAACAGCTCGAGATCGCATTAAGTGAAGTAACAATCTTGTCGTGCAGCCACTGCTCGTACAGAATGAGAAGCCCTGCTGTTGGAAGTTGTCTGACTTGCGACTCAAATCTCTGCAAGACTCACGCGACGGCGCATTCGCAGGACCTCAGCAACATACATTATATCGTGGCAAACCGAATACTGCAATTTATGATGAGAAACAGAGTGATTCATACGAATGATGTAGATTATTCAAGGAATTGGTCAAAGTCTTGGAATTGCTTAGACAGGTCACGTATTGTTGTGGCGTCGCCCCGAAGTGCGTTGATTTTAACCTCGATTTCATCCGCTATTGCCGAGGGGCTTCCGCTGCCCAACTCGTTCACCTGCTTCACCAGAGCCACGATGCTCTCGTAGATCGGCGTGTGCAATTCTCGTGGTGGTGGTGGTGGTTGTGGTAGAGGGTAGCTGCTCTGGAGCGCTCTGTAAACCCAAACTACAGCTGTATTCAATCTCTTTGACGGCCTGCGTGACGGCGCGCACCGTTCCTGGCATGATTTCACCCAGTTGATTGAGGCAGTTGCGCAGCTGCTCGCTCAGGCGTTCATCTTCCTTGAGGGCCTCCCTCACCTCGCCGGCGGTGGCGATGTTGAGCGCTCCTGTCGCTATCTCGGCTCCGACATCAACAACGGCACCAACGCCTTTTTCCACGGGTGTTGGCGGTTTTAACGACACAGTCATAATTATGCGATCTAACCCAAACAAACCTGTATTATGGATATTGGTTGTGAATGCCTACGTTTTAAGCGTGATTTTTCACCAACGACTCTCAGGTATGATATAATTTCACGCATTTATAAATCACCTTACGTACCCCCTGGGACATTGCCACGTACTTCAAGGGGTCCGCGTACCCATGCTTGAGAACCACTGCTCTAGAGAACCCCTCGCCCCGCATCAGCTCGCAATGACCCTGCGTCCAGGCTCATCCCGAACATTCCGAGATTTGACGACGCGCGGCACAATCCGAGTGCTTTAGTCATCAGGCACGGATATTAGACCAACACGTGGTAAATATTAGTGCGACGATCAATTGATTAATAACACGACGTATATAATGAGCAGGCCTTGGTCAATCCACTGCTGGATGAAGGCATCTCCACGCCGTAGGGGGTGTTTGAACGTACTTCACCACGACAGTGAGTGAGTGGTGGCGAAGAGGAAAGTGGAAGAGGGGGGCATACAATGACACCGCGTCACATATCACAGTTCACTGACGTTAGCCATGGCTGAGAAGCGAAGTTAGGGGCCGTCCATAAATGACGTCACGCACCTAGGGGGGGGGGTCAGACATTTGTGACGATGTGTGACGGGGGGGGGGGTTTGAGAAATGTGACGTCACAAAAAATGCGCAACTTTAAATAAATATAGACGACACGTTCTACTTAAATAGACTTTTTAATAAATGTTTGCTCCTACAACATCAGAGTGCAGCGCTACATTAAATACGCACTACAATGACAATAGTTTAAAGCGATTTGAAGCATGTTTTTTTTTGGGGGGGGGGCAGAGCTTTGTGACGTTATATTTGAGGGGGGGGTCTGACTTTTTGTGACGCCGTGTGACGAGGGGGGGGGTCAAAAAATCTCCAAAATCGCGTGACGTTATTTATGGACGGCCCCATAGGTAACCAGATTAGGTACATCTAATCTGATTTGTATTCATAATGCACACCTTCACTCAAGGCGCTTGACAGCACGATGGAAGAATGAAATTACGTAGTTGACAAGGTGTATAAGGTTTGAGGGATTAGTGGTAGGAGGGCCCTTACCTTTTTGTACTTCTACAGGACTATTCTGCACAAGCCGCACGCCGACGCCTTAATCAAGTGTTGCCCGAATGGGGAAGACAGCGACGTGAGCTGATAAGATATCTCCTCGACATCGTATGCTCGCTGAGAGAGCGGCAGAGCGGTTTTAACGTCGCCAAAACCGCCGCTGCATCCCTGACTCTGTTGGGGAATTCGCTCATCTACGCCGGGAAAAACGACGTCGATGACGACGGCGATGATTTCGCCACCTTGCTCGGAGCCGTGGCAAAAGGCATCGGCGCCGTCGTTGATGTCGGAGCCGAGATAGCGACAGGAGTGCTCAACATCGCCACTGCCAGCGAGGTGAGGGAGGCCCTCAAGGAAGATGAACGCCTGAGCAAGGAGCTGCACGTCTGCCTCAATCAACTGGGCGAAATAAAGCCAGGAACGGTGCACAGCATCACGCGGGCCGTCAAAGAGGTCGAAGACAGCTGTAGGTTGGGCACGCAGGCTTACAGAGCGCTCCAGGGCAGCTACGCACAACCACCACCCCGAGAATTGCACACGCCGATCCATGAGAGCATCGTGGCTCTGGTGAAGCAGGTGAACGAGTTGGGCAGCGGAAGCCCCTCGGCAATAGCGGATGAAATCGAGGTGAAAATCAACGCACTTCGGGGCGACGCCACAACAATACGTGACCTGTCTAAGCAATTCCAGGACTTTGACCAATTCCTTGAATAATCTACATCATTCGTATGAATCACCCTGCTTCTCATGAGTAATTGCAGCATTCGCTT